TGTTTTATTAGAATTACTTTCTAATTGATATATATATATTTTCAGGCAATTATGTTGCCGAATTATAAATTTGGTTCATTTAATTGATAATTTCTTTGGGAAAGGATTTACAATTACAGTCAGCTTCTGAAATAGTCACATCCGCAATAGTCACAATCAATCATATTAACCCTCGCTATAGTCGCATTAAATTTCTGCCAGATGTGACTATAGCGGGAGTCGGGAGTTGACTGTATTAGATAAAGTTTAGAACCAATATTCCCAGATTCTTAATTATCTTGCACATTGAAATCTTTGTATTATTATACTCATAATAAACATATAATAAACATATGAGAAATTGGAAATTGTCATATTTTTATTGTTAAAATAATTTATATCATTTTAATATTGAATTAATTCAACTAAAAAAAAATTTAAAATTATATAGAAATCGTTTTTAAAACTAAACTTATATATGACAAAGACTTTATTTGTCGTGTCCTATTATAACAATTGGTACATTACACAATAATAGCTAAGGATCAGATTCTGGAAGAGAACTCTGATCAGAAACATTGATTTTGCTTTCGCTCGCTGATTTTCCTCCTACGAGCAATCTATTCATAACACCAATGCTTTTAATACCACCTTTCTCTCTCTTCAATTGAATTCTCTTCAATCTTTCTTCAAGTTTTCTCGCTTTTTCTTTTAGTTTTTCTTCTTTATAAGCCTGCCTAACTTTAAACGGCTTTGGTCCAAACTCAGTGTTCATCATCAATCTCCCTCTGTCTAAAAGCAGCTTTTTATGCACAACAAATCTAGGCCATTCCAAACCAGCTTTCTCTGCTGGAACATCTTTTAAAGTTTCTCTTTCCCAAAAAATTTTAATTCTGCTAGTTTCATTACTTTCCATACCTTTCAACCCTAATTTATTTAATGCGTAACATAAGTTGCAAATGCTTTTATCAATTTGATCCATGTCTTCGATTTGGCGAATTTTTCGAGCAGTTTGTTTATAATCGGGGGGTTTTGGATATGTGTCAAGTTTATCCCGAACTGCATTATGAGTGGCTGTCACAGAGCCATAACTAGAGAAACCAGTTACTGCTATGATAGGTTTCCAAAAATCTCTGCGAATTTTATGCGGACGTAGTTTTACATCTTTAATTTGTTTTAAATATCTGCTCTACAAAATGAGAAAGAATGTTAATTTAAGGGTCTAGTTGTTTCTACTGTTCCTTCAATTAAATAAAATACTTTTAAATTTCTTCCGATAGCTAATAAAACT